CCCAGGGCTCCTCGCCTGTTGCTCTAAACAGTTGCTAGGAGGAAGCGTGGCCGGATGTGAGCGCGGCCGCCCGGGCTGGAAGTGGTGCTTCCAGCCAGGTGTGGCCGGCCAAATGCCAATAACTTCCTTGCTTTAAGTGCTGCTGAGTCAGAAGCCTGGCGGCAATGTGATGGTGGCACGCGTGTCCCCTCCCAGGTACACCCTGCTGTGTGGGAACCCTCCCTTCGAGACCTCCGACCTCAAGGAGACCTACAGGTGTATTAAGCAGGTGGAGTACACCCTCCCTGTCTTCCTCTCCCTGCCCGCCAAGCACCTCATCGCCGGCATCCTCAGACGCAACCCCCAGGACCGCTTCACCCTCGAGGAGATCTTGGACCATGAGTTCTTCAAGGTGAGTGGGTGGGTGGGGTGTGTGGCCTTGACCCTTCTCCAGGTGGGATGAAGCTTTTTGGGCTGTGCAGGGTGCTGTCCTTGGAGCCCAAGTCTCAGGCCTCCAAAGGAAGCAGCCACTGTCCTGCCCAAATGCCAGCCAGGGAAACAGAGGGATCTGGTGTGCTCCTCCCACCCTGTCCCCATAGCACAGACTGTTTCCCGTATTGATGCTGGTCGCAAGGCCAAGGCTTGACGGAAATGCAAGCTGGCTGTCAGGAGGGCTGTGAGTGACTGCGGTCAGCCCAGGGCAGCTGCTCTGCTTGGAGCACATGGGCTATGGAAACCAAACCTCTGCCTTGACCTCTCTGCAGGGCTACACGCCTGAGAAGCTCCCTCCCAGCAGCTGCGTGATGGCTCCAGAGCTCAGTCCCCCCAACTCAGCAAAGAGTCTGTTTGCTAAAGTCACCAAGACACTCTTTGGGAAGAAGAAACCCAAGGGTGAGTCCCTGCACTTGCCCAGAGCCTCTGGGTGACCCTTCCTCCAGGGAGAAGTGCGTCTCATCTCCTGGGGAGACTTCCTGATGGGTCTCTGTGGACCCCCTGCCTGGGGCCAGTGCAAGCTGAGCTTGCCCCTGCTCTTCTGGCATGTGTGGCCTGGCATGGGTGTGCGCCTGGAGAGCGGATGCTGTGCTGCAGCCCGTGGGGGCAGTTCCTCCTGGAAGCCCTGTGTTGCATGAGAACTGGGAAGTGAAAGTGGGAGGCAGCTGCCTAACACTGTCCTCACCACCGTGAGCATGGGAGCAGATGAGGGAGAGCTGAGCTACTGGGAGGGGTGACCCAGATGTCCTCATCCCCTGTGCTTAGCAGTGAGCTCATTGCTTGCTCTCTTCTCAGCCAAGAAGGGCTCTTCAGAGGACAAGGATGACATCTCCAAGCTGGTCACTGGGCTGATGAAGACCTCGCTCTGCCGGCAGATGAGCTACAAAACCGTGGAAGGGAATGAGGTGAGAACATCCCTGAGCCTGTGCACACCCCTCTTCAGGAGAGCAGGCAGGACACTGATAAAGCCAGGTCTCTCCACAGGCCACCCCTGTATCATGCCGCAGTGCCAGCTCTAGCCCGGTGGAGACAGTGATGGAGGAGACATCTCACAAGTCTGTGTCCCCCTCCATCCGGGGGACGATGGCCAGCAGCTGTGAGGGTGAGCAATACCTGCCCAGGCCACCCCAGCCTGCCCCGAGCTTCCTGGCCTGGCTGATAGCGGGGCTGGCTGACTCAGCCTGTCATCTTCTCTCCGCAGCCTTTGAAGACTGCGTCACCGCCTCTGCCATCATTGAGTCGGCTGTCCGGCTCCTGCGGACCTGCCTCTCCTCCATGCCCCCAGGTAAACCGGTTGGACTGCTCTGGGATGGGACAGGGTGCTGTGCATCCCCTTCCCCATGGGATGAAGGCACAGCTGCTATTTGGGATACCTTAAATGCTGCCAGAGCCTGCTGTGGGGTGTCTGTTCCCTCCTGGGGAGGTGAGGTGGGCAGGGGCTGGCTGCTTGCTCTGCTCACCCCCTCTTCTCTCCACCAGCGGAAAAAAACCCGGCTTCCCTGGCCCGCCATGAACACTTTGTCTGGGTGAGCAAGTGGGTGGATTACTCCAACAAGTATGGCTTTGGCTACCAGCTTTCCAACCGCAGCATCGGGGTCCTCTTCAACAACGGCACGCACATGACGCTTTCCCCCAACCACAGGTAAGTGGTGGGGAAGGGGCTGGTGTCTCTGGGGAAGCCCCTTGGGTAGGAAGGGGCAAGGGGAAGTTGTGCCAGGGTGTGTTTGGTGCTGGGTGGCCCGAAAGCTCATGTTCTGCTCCCTCCCAGGACTGTGCATTACAACCCAACCAACAGCAAACACCTCGTGTTCTCTGTGGCCGCCATCCCTGAGCAGCTGCAGAGACAGATGAGTGTCTTGCGCTACTTTGCGTCCTACATGGAGCAGCATCTCATGAAGGTGAGCGCTGGGGCTCTGAGATGGGATCATGGGTAGGCTGGATGGCGGGTCATGGCTTGACCACATCTCTTGGGGTTGTGGGGACTCCCTGCTCACAAGCTGTGGCGAGGTGGACAGCCAAACAGTTGTGTTGTGGGAATGGGGATCCCACTGGGAGCGTGTGCAGGTTTGGGTGTGTGTGTGCTGGTGACAGTGCTCCCGTGGATGGGATCAGTGGCTTACGCAGACCCTTCTCTCCAAGGGAGGTGACTTGCCCAGCATAGATGACCTTGGGCAGCCAGCCCTGCTCCTCCTGCAGTGGGTGAAGACTGATCAAGCCTTGCTCATGCTCTTCAGCAGTGGCACCCTCCAGGTATGTGTGGCGTACAGTGGAGATGCCCAGACCCCTGTGGGGAGGCCAGCTGGGGACTCCTGGCTGCTGTTAGATCTTGTCTGCCACAGCCCAAATGCAAGGTCCAGCTGTGAAAACAGCTATGGGTGCAGGATGCTGCTCCAATGCCTGGAGCTGCTGGTCCCAGTTTGTCCAGCCCGTGGGGGACATGATGCTTCAGTCGGTCACTTCCATCTGCCCCAGTGCTGCGGCTGGTGCGTTCCCACCACGGGGCATGGAGCCAGGGATGCTCCTGGGCAAGTCAGGGAGGAGGAACGGGTTGAGGCAGGAAGCGTGGCTCCATCCTGGCTCCCGACATGCTGCGGAAACTGTGATTTAAACCAAGTCCAACCTGTATCCTAGGTGAATTTCTACAATGACCACACCAAGGTGATCATTAGCAAGCCTGACCATTCCTGCCTTGTCACCTACATCAACCGGGAGCGCAACTCCTACACCTACAAGCTGTGCAGCATCCAGGAGCTGGGCTGCTCTCCTGAGCTCCACCACCGCCTCAGATACATCCTCAAGCTCCTCCAAGAACGGGCTGAGGCCTAGCGTGGGACCTTGGGGAACCCTCTCTGGACGTAGAGGTCTCCCCCTGCCCTCCCGTGGGATGGGAGGTATGTTGTGGTGCTGGCTGCCCACCTGGGCACCCTGTATCCTGGTGCTCAGCTAGACTCTGGACTAAAACACATGGATGTGGTTACAGCAGCAGGTCTGGACATCCTTGCTGCTCCCTGGCTCTGGGCAATCGCTGTCTTCCCGCTGGCAGCTCCTGCTCTGGTTGTGCTGGTCTTGGTGGAGTGGACTGGGGTGGCACAGGGAGGTGGTGGGTGAGTGCCCTGCAGCCAGGTTTGGGTCTGGCTGTGCCTTGTTCATGGCCTGGTGCTCCAGCCTGCCCTGGCTGGCAGCTGCCTGCAGTGGGGGCTCAGGCTGTCCTGCCCAAGGTGATGCACCAGTTGCATAGACCCTCTCCATAGCCTGGAGAGGACTGGCACAGCCTTGATCTCAAGGCTTGGCTGCTGTGGGGTAGCGAAAACCCCTTCCCAGGGGTAGACAGGGGTGAAGGGCGATGCCTGCCCTGCCAGGGGCTGCGTGGGCTGGTGTGTGCTGCTCCACAACTGCTACACTAAAGAGGGGGCTGTGCTGGGCCCAACTGTGCCCTGTCTGCTCCCAAATTGTGAATTGTCTGGTACAACTTGAGGTTTGATAAAGGGTGGGGAGGGTGGGATCTGAGGGCTTGCCTGGGGAAGCCCTTGTCTTGCTGGGACCTGGGGAGGCTTCTTGTTTCAAGGCACTCTGCCGTGTGGGACTATTTATGTCTTATTTATATGGATTTATTTATTTTCCTGTTGGTCTGTCCATGTGCAGCTCCCCTGTCCCTGACTCACCTCAATAAAAAATTTATTTGTGGAAGGGCAAACTGTCCACCTGGCTTGGAGCTGGGGCCTTGGTCACAAAAGGGCTTCATCTTCATCCTTGTTCCAGGGCTGCTTCTGCCTGCAAGGCAAGACCCCTCTTGACAGTGGCTGTTGCTGGGGGACAAGGTCAGGGAGACAGGATTCGGGTGAGGAGCCCATGTGGTACCTCCACTGCCCTTCCCAGGGCTGGCAGGAAGGGGAGAGTTAGCTCTTGCTGATGCCTGTGGAGCCCTGGAGCTGCCTCAGCTTCTCCTTGCTGCTGCCAAACTCTCATTCCCAACTGTCTCTGCCCTTGGACCAAACCCAGCTGCTCTCATGCTTCTGCTGAGCTGCAGAAGGCAGGAGCTGTTGGCCCAGGGGGTGGGTGGGTTGCCTGGGTCCTTACACTAGGACACCTGGTGTGATGGGATATGAACTGGGAATGAAGCCAGGAAAGAGGAGGGACTTAATCTGCTCCATGAGCTTGCTTTGAAGGTGATCTGTCATCTCCTTGCCCAGTGCTGGTGTAATCAATCTGCGTGGGAGCAGCTTGTGCTGTTTGAAGCAGTCTGGGCTGCTCCCTGTAGCATGGCCTCGGGCAGCTGCCTGCTCCAGGGTAATGCGGTCTTTTGGGTTGTATTTTTTTGCAAACTGTGGTAGTGGAAGCTACAGCATGGGTGTGAGCCCAGGCTGGGCGCTGTAGTGTGCAAACACGGAACTAAGGTGCATCTGTGCCTTGCTCCCTGCATGCCCCATGGCCAAAGCCACCAGGCATGAGCCACAGCTGGAGCAAACCTCTTTATTTCAGCTGCTCTCCCCCTGCAGTCCTACAAGGCTGGGTGGAGGGAGAGGCAGGTGCTACTCAAAGTAGACCCCATGCGCTGTGGCCACAGCAAAGAGGGAGGCATTGGAGAAGGTGGCAGAAGCAAAGCTGTCACTCTCAGGGTCCCACAGTGCCCGGCTGGCCACCAGCAGGCTCTGCTGGCCCTGCTGGCCCAGCAGCACGTGGCAGACCAGCTTGTAGCGGGGTGGCACCACCTCCTTTGCCCGGCTCCGCAGCAGCTCAGCCAGGCTCTGGGCTAGTGGGGCGCTGCCCTGGGGGCTGTAGACTGCAGTCCCCAGGGTGCTGGCCAGGGTCCCCTCCAGCACCCGTTGCACCCGTCCCATGTCAAACTTGCAACCTTCATCTGGCTGCATCCTGTAAGTGTTTTCGAGGCGGGTCTTGAGGATGGGCTGGAAGAGGGGCAGCCCGGAGAAGCTCACACGGCTGTGGAGCATCCATGGGCCGATGGAGGGGTGCCTGCCACCTGGGGCTGCCCCAAGTGAGCTGCGGCGGCTAGCCAGGGGTGCTGGGTGGGTGCTGAGGATGGAGCTGCGGCGGCTGGCCAGGGGTGCTGGGTGGGTGCTGAGGATGGAGCTGCGTCGGGAGGGCAGGAGCGGCGGTTTACCTTCCTCGATGCCCCGTGCCAGGGCTGGGGGCTGGGAGCCGCGGCGGGTGGCCTGGAGCGGAGGGGCTTCAGTGTTGTCCACAGCCATCACCTGGGCTGGCAGGGCCACCTCTGGGGAGGGCTGCTCAGCCATAGGGGTGGCCTGGAAAGGAGATGTGGCTCTGAGTGTTGGGGGCAGGTGAGTTGTCCCTGAGCCTCTCCATCCCACCACCTCTCTGCTCCGCTTCTCCCTGCCCCCTGCAAATCCCACGCCTCCTAGCACGAGGGTTGCTGCGTGGCTGGATGCAGAGGGGCTGGGGGGACCTTTGGCAGCTGCCGTCCCTTCTCCAGCACCTCCGTCCCCAGCAGCCTCAGCCAGCTGGGACTGATCCAGTCCATCCAGCCCTCTGCTCTCCCATCCCCACCCTTTCCCCCCGGCGTGGGTGAGCAGCTCCTTCCCCTCCAGCCTCCCCAGCCCTCCTGCCTGCATCTGGTCCCACACTTACCTCTAGCCCCACTCCTGCCCTGCTGGGATAAACGCAGGGGACTTGTCTCCAGCTGATGTTGTGCTCCCGGATGCCCAGGACCAACCTTGGTCCTGCAAGTCTCAGTGAGCAGGGCCAAACCCCTTGTTCTCCTGGAGCGTGAAGTGTTGCTATGTGACAGTACAGCTCTCCAGGGCTGCTCTGGGGCATGGCTCCTGTAACTCCTTGTTTCCTGGTCCCGTGACAGCCCTGTGCCCTTTCACTCCTGCCCTGTCTCTGTTTCTAGCTGTGCCAGCATAGGGACATGGTTGCTCCAGGCACGTGCCCTCCAACCTCAGCTGCTCCCTGCCAGGCCCGAAAAATGCTTGCTGGTGTTGACTGTGCAAAGGAAGAGCAGAGGATGGAGAACAGCCACTGTGATCGCTGCTCTGTACCCCAACTATGGGCTGCACCGGGGCTGGGACATCCAACAGCTTGATTTTAGCCAAAGGTTTGCATCATTTGGGTACTTATCCCCCACCCTGCACCAAGGGAGAGTGTGAGTGGGTGGGCACCCACTGACCACAGCCCCACCGTGTGCCAGGGGCCCTGCTGTTGCAATGCCCTGGCCCAAGGGCACGTTTGCTTGGGGCTCCTGACCCCAAGCAGGGTTTCTCTCCGCTGGCGGAGCCCAGCCCAGCTGGTACGCCGCAGCCAACCCGTCAATACGCCTTTGTCTGGCCTGGCTGCCGAGCTATTTGAGGAAAGTGGAGACGGCTTTTGTGTTTCTATCTCCCGTCAGAGGTATTTATAGCCTGCCACTGACTAGCGCTGCCAAGCACGCTGGCAGCTGGACCCCGTTCCCTCAGGGTGCTGCCATCGGCTGCAGGCCCTGCTCCTCCCTCTCCCTCCCACCACTGCTGACAAGTGAAGGTGGGTCCCTCCACGGACTCCCTCCCCACGTCCCCGTCCACGGGCTGCTTGGGGTCAGCCAGGCTTGGGAGAAAGGGGATGGGGCATCCCCGGGCACAGCACTTGTTTTGGGCTTGGGCAAGGCTGGTTATGCTTTTTTCTGCCTGCGATCACTTGTGTCCTATGCAGACATAAGAGCTGCAGGGCTTTGGCCTGAAACATTGGCAGGAGAGAAGACTTTTGCCATTTCAGGGGGCAGATCTCGCTGCTGGACTCAAGTTTGCTCTACTGCTGGGGCTGGGGACCCAGCCATGCCCAGTGGCTTTCCATGGGGGCTGTGCATGTGTGTGTGGGGTGATCTTTGTGCTTTTAACCTGTGCATGTGCTGCCTTTTCCAAAATCCCAGCTGCCTGCCTCCCTTCGCCCCCATCCACGGGCTCCTCTGCAGCAAAGCCACCAGCTGGGGGGCAGGTCCCCGTGCCGGGGCCATGCCATGAGCCGCGGCGGGGAATGCCACTTGAACGGAGACGCAGGCCTGCCTCCCAGCTCCGCTCACATCTGGCAAACACCCGGACAGAGCTGCCTCGGCAGCGAGGGTGGACTTCCCTGCTCGCCGCCCCCTCTCTCCCTCCCGCTGCCTCCCCGGCAGCCTGGCTGCCTGGCCCCAGCGCCGCCTGCCAGGTTTCCCTAGCAATGGGCCGGCCATGTCATACGGCGCAGCGGCCTCCTCCCCGCGGCCTCCCCAGGCCAGCCAGCCTCCCGCCTGCCTGCCTGCTGCCTGCCTCCCGCCTGCGTGCGCCGCCTTCCTCCACTGCCCTCCCCACGGCAGCCCATGGCTGGACCCTGCTCGACGCGGCTGCAGGGCGAAGCAGCCGCCTTCACCGCTGCCCTCCGCACCCTAGTCAACAACCCTCAGTTCAGGTGAGGGGCTGGGGGGCTGCCACCCCCCCAGCCATGCCAAGCCCTCTGGTGCCTGCTCCGTGCTGCTTTCCCATGGCCCCAAGCCCTGCCGGGGGGGGTTTTGGGCCCCTGGGCATTGTGGGGAGCCCCGGGCAGCTGGTGAGGCGGGCATGGCTTATGCACACCCTGGGGCATCCTGCACGGCTTTTGCAGCGCTCCACTCGCATCCGCACGGCCGTGGGAGCCCAGGGCTGCACGGGTGCATCCCCCATGGGATGGCCACTGCCTCCCTGGAGGAGGGAAGGTCCCCAGGTGTGCCCAGACCCCCTCTGTCCCCAGGCATGGTGCCAGCAGGGCAAGGCAGTGTCCCGGACTAAATCCCACGCTGGGGCTCCTGCCCTTGCCAGGAGTGGGGGTACCACGGCCCCTGTGCTCCCCAGGGGCAGCCACCTCTGCTCCTTTCCCACCCCAGCTTCACTGGTGCTTTCCTTCAATGTCTCCAACCTCCCCACACCCCGGAGGGCAGGTAGCAGCCTGGCTGCCCCCACTTGCAGCGCCCGGTGTCCCTGACACCTCCTCCCGGAGCAGAGATAGAGAACCACTGCCTCGGGCACCCCCCACCGACACAACAGGTCCTGCCAGTGGTCCTCTTTGCCCACTTCATGCTGAGGCCTGGCACAAATGCCAGTGCTCTCTGAGGAAATCCCCATCCCTGCTGAAATTTTGGCTACCCAGAAGAGAAATTCCAGTGAAAACTCCCTACCCACAGCGTCAGGCAGTGGGGAAGCGGCTGCCAGCGCCTGGCCACCCCAGCCCACATCCTGCCACTTGCATCTTGCATCCCGCACCCTTCATCCTGCATCCTGCAACCCACATCCTGCAGCCTTCATTCTGCATCCTGCAAGCTGCGCTCTGCATCCATCAGCCTTCACCCCGCATCTTTCCTCCTGCACCCTGCATCCCACAGCCTGTATCCCTCATTCTGCAACCTGTATCCCATAACCAAAGCTGGCATCCCACATCTCACAGCCTGCATCCCATACCCTGCTTCCTCCACTTGGCCTGTGGACCATAGCCACGGAGAAGTTCGTCAGTGCCGCTTGCAGTACCAGTCGCAGAGGACCCATTGAGCTCTGCTCACACTGCCCAGCACACCCGAGCCGTCTGTATCCCGATATGCATGTGGGATGACTCAGGTGCCCTTCCTTCTGGTGGGCACAGCCTCTGTGGGACACTGCAAGGGTTGGGTGGTAGGTTTGTGCATGGCCTTGTGGCAGCTAAAGCTTGGGTGACATGTCTTCTGCTCACTCTCCTGCTGGGGTGGGGAAAGAGAGGGGATGGATGGGCTATGGGCTGGAGACTCCCTGCCCTTTGCCTGTTCCCTTTCCTCTGATCCTGCCTCCCTTTCCTGGGGCTGCAGAGCCGGGAAACCATGCTGGGGGGAACCAGGACAGCTGGCATCCATGCCCCAGTATGCAGTGCAGGCTCTCTGCCAGCCCCCCCTGGCAGAGATGCTGGAGGCTTCGCATCCCTGACCCCATGAGTCAGTGCCCGTGAGTCAAGGAGGCTGAGCCCAGTGGCAGCTGCGCTTTCCCTGGCTTTGCTGTGCCAAAAGAGAAAGCCACTTTCTCCAGCTGTCCCAGGCCTTTCTCTGCCCTGCTCTGTGCCAGCACCCATGGCCATCTGTGCTGGCACCCATGGCTGTCTGTGCCTTCCAGAGGACCCATCTTGCTCACCCCGCCTGCAGCATTCAGATGGCTGCAAGGAGCCACCAGCAAGGAGAACTCAGTGCCTCTGCTGGGAAAAGCCCTGGCTTAAAACTAAAGGGCACTGCCCTGCTAGGATGGGCACCCAGCTGGTCCCTGCCCATGTGCCCTGTCCCAGCCCCAGGGCATCCCGTGCCCTGGCTTCCCAAGGCACCCCATCCCTCACGGTCCCCTCTCCCCCGCAGTGACGTGACATTCGTGGTGGGCCGGGAGCGGCAGAAGGTGTTTGCGCACCGCTGTGTGCTGGCATGCCGCTGCCAGGCTTTCCAAGGGATGCTCGGCCAGGGGCTGGCAGGCAGCGAGGACCCCCCGGGCAGCATCCCACCCCAGGGCCCCTTCATCCTGGGCAACGTGCAGCCCGACGTCTTCCTGGCCGTCATCGAGTTCCTCTACACCAACAGCGTCACCCTCAACAGCCACATTGTGAGTGGGGATGGGGCTGGTGGGGGCCATGGGCATGGGAGGGACAAGACGGTGGGTGCAGGGTAGGGGGTGCTTTGCAGCTCCTGGGGTACCAAAGGTGGAGGGGGTGCTCTGCATGATGCTTTCTGGCTGGCTAACAGTGCAATGAGCATGTGGGGTCTCAGCCTAGCACAGTGGGGTATCCAGAGCACCTTGTCCCACATGTGTCTGCCCCAACCTTGGGACAGCTGGCTGTGCACACTCTGGCTGCTGGGAATAGGGACACCAGAGCAGGACACCTTCATATGCTCCCATGCAGCAACTCCTTCCCCCTCCATGCCCCACCGGGGAGCTCCCACAGAGGCAGGAGGACACGTGGCCTTGGCCCCTGGGCTGCCATGCCCATCCGTGGCCCTGTGCACCGATGCTCACAAGGTCTCTCTTGCCTGCAGGCACTGGAGGTGCTGACCTCATCGGTGGAGTACGGCCTGCAGGACTTGTGCAAGGTATGGCCCTGCTTAGACTGGGGGCAGTGGTCCCCAAGTGCCCCTGTGCTGAGGAGAACCCCAAGATGGTCTCTGCATGGCTGCTGGCTGGAGGTGGCTCTGATGGACGGCACCGTGGTGCATCACCTGGGTCCATCGCAGGCTCAGCCCCTCCTTCTCAATCCTGGAGGGTCTCTCCGGTGGGATCCCCCTTCATGGGGTGCAGCACCATCCAGGAGCACCATGGGCCCGGGGAATCCCAGGGAAGGGCATGGGGCCTCATGTCTCCTGCATGGCAAAGGGCAGCAGGAAAGCCCCTATGTCATTGCCTGCAGGTGCCCTCTGGTCATCTGGCAGGATGATGCTGTA